GGATTTATTGGTAAAAATGGTCGTCGATGGGTTTTAATAATTAATAAACGATATGTTGATGTTGATGTATTTTTACCTGGATGTACTGGTGGTCGAATGCAAATTGTAAATGAAGCATCAGCTTTTGGATCGGCAAGTGAAGTAACATTAATGTTGAGCAGAATAACATTAAGTCCATTTGCTGTTGCTGTTATTCATATGCCTCCTGGCAACATCCAGTGAATAATAATTATTTGCTGTTGTGTTGTTTAGAATTTATAAGTTGCAATAAAACGTAGGAGGAAATCTATCCAACTGTGGGACGCTGTTCGAACTCATATTTTGAATATGAGTAGGACCCATTGAGACAAAAGAAGTTCTAAACGAGTGCGGCTCCTTGGCATATTTAAACGAAGATCAGGTTGCCACAGAGGTGTATGAAAATAGGATTTTTGAGATTTTTGTCGGTTTTGTATTTTGTTTCGAAAAGTTAAGATCTACTATTTTTGATATTGATTATTATTTGATACAGGAGATAGAGTTATGTTCATTCAAGAATGTTCGACCAATCTGGAGACGGTACTGATTCAAGTCTATCATGTGAGATAATAACGAAAGTGAAACTTTTCTTTTTTCAATATCAAGTGACATGTAGAGAATAGACATGTGCATGACTAATTCTGGTTCCGGTGTTAGAATTGAAAATCTCTCTATAGCCTCGAAGCATAATAAAGTTTCTAAAACTACGTTTTGTAGAGAAATCTTTTCTCTACAATATAAGGCTAACGCGAACACTATGTGCTTATCATAGCCGGAGAAAATGTTGTCAGAGTCGACCGGGACCACCGCCGGGACCGGGACCGGGACTAGTTTGGTCCCGGTCTTTATACTTGCTAAATTATTTCATAACGAGAATCTGTGAAATATGTTAAAACATACAGGCAGGAAGAGCAAAAATTTCTCCACACAATGCATTATTACAGAATAATTTAAGAATGCAGCTGATGAAATAGCAGGTCAATGTTTGACCGGGACTAGAAAGGGTTTTTCGGTCCCGTGCACATCTCTATGTTGAATAGACTCTGTTGCTCTAGAATCTGAAATAGAGTATGATAAAATGGTAAAGATAGTTCGTATTATCTACACCACATTCGACTCTCACGCGGTTCTCAAGTAAAGAGGAAAACTTATTCTTTACTTATCTTTTTACTTCTGCAATACCCTATAGTGACAAGAGTAAAATGAACATTATCTCGAGATTCATAGAACCTTTTGGAAAGAATATGAGTTGACCGCGTGTGTTAGATGAAAATTCTACGTTAAAAATTGTAAATCTCAACTTGTTCAAATAATGAAAAAACTCCAGCCCCAACTCAAAAAATACCATTTTCTTATTTTTATGCGATAACCAGATCTCCATGTAGCGGAACCATGAGTCCGAGCCTTTTATAGTTTTTTAATCTCACTGGGTGCTACTCATAGCCAGCATATGGGCTTGAAGCATGAACATAGTAAGACTTATTTACTCTTTTAGCTAAATGGCGGCAACTTTATTTGTTTGTTCCTTGCTGTTGAAAAAAACATGAAATGAATCTTATTGTAACATCGAACCTTCAGTTCTCACAACGATGGCACTTCAAACAGTTACAAAAATTTCTATGTTCAAGATAGAAAATATGATAGTTTAACACAAAAAACACATCCAAAAAGTGTACAAAATGTTGTCACGTATTGTGCTCTGTCGGTTCAACAATATATATTCATATGAAGCACTTTTCTTTTCTCGGTTGAAACATTTTCTTTTCTCTTCTTGACTATCAGCAAGCCAGCCGATCACCGACCGCAACGGTTTTTTCTTTTTTTTTTTTGCTTTCCTCTGTCTGTGTGACTTATGAAACAAAGCAATAAAGCAAAAAGAAATGCCCATAAAGTAAGGTAGAGCAAAAAAATAATGGTGACATGTCGCGTGGTGAAAATTTTGAATAGTAAGGCCAGAAAAAAAATTCGCCTAGCAATCATGTTTCACAGGCTTTATCTTTTGATTCTTATTGATTAACGTCGACATTTTTAAGATAGAAGAGTCCTAGAATTTTTTCTTTGTTTTAGATTGTAAAATAATCAGTCAACTTTCTTAGTGTATCTCTGAGGATGAATATCATGCAGTATCTGTCGGTGATTATACTATATCACCTTATTTCTATTATTACTCCAATTCAGTTATTAGATGAAACTGACAATTTTCAAAATGATCAAGTAAATGGTGATCCTATTCTTATCCAAATATCTTGGACTATACATGACTATAATCTTCATACTATTCCAACTTTACAAGTCGTCACTAATCCTCTTTTGTCTCGACAATTTTCACCTGTTCACAAACAAATCTTTGCTAGTCTGAAACAACTCAATGCTGAATATGCTCGTTATGCTGCTTGGTTTCCTTATCCAAAATTAG